TGCTTATCTTTCTGAGTCTAAGTTTCCTCACTCAGGATGTTTTTTTTTCTATTCCATCCATTTGCCTGTAAATTTCATTATGTCATTTTTTTACAGCTGAATAATACTCCATTGTGTAAATGTACCACATTTTCTATATCCATTCTTCAGTTGAGAGGCATCCAAGTTGTTACCAGTTTCTGGCTATTACCAATGCATTAAAGGCTACTTCCCACTTTCTCTTCTATCAGGTTCAATGTAACTGGATTTATGTTGAGGTCTTTGATCCACTTGGCAATAGATATGGACCTATTGGCATTCTTCTACATGTTGACATCCAGTTAGGCCAGCACCATTTGCTGAAGATGCTTTCCTTTTTTCATTGCACCATTTTGGCTTCTTTGTTAAAAAATCAGGTGCTCATAGGTGTATGGATTAATGTCAGGGTCTTCGATTCTATTCCATTAGTCCATCTGTCTATTTTTATGTCAATACCAACCTGTTTTTATTACTATAACTCTAGAGTTTGAAGTCAGGGATGGTGATGCCTCCAGCAGTTCCTTTATCATACAGGATTGTTTTAGCTATTCTGGGTTTTTTGTTTTCTCCATATGAAGTGGCTCATATGGGGGATAAGATGCTACAGGGTGATTAGCACTAGCCACTTATTTTTGCTCTTTGAATGAGCATTAGAGAACTTTTTAAAAATTTATTTTTAAACATTTATTATTTGTGGCAGGGGAGCATGCATGCCACAGAGCATGTGTGGAGGTCAGAGGACAACTTGTGAGAGTTGGTCCTTTCCATGCAACAACAGTAGGGTCTTGTCATCAGGCTTAGCAGTAAGCCTCATTACCCACTGGGCCATTTCACTAACTCAAGCTTCAGAGAAATTTTATTGAAGAGAAGTTGTTCTTTGAAAACTTTTTTTTTTTCGAGACAAGGTTTCTCTGTGGCTTTGGGGGTTGTCCTGGAACTAGCTCTTGTAGACCAGGCTGGTCTGGAACTCACAGAGATCGACCTGCCTCTGCCTTACAGTGCTGGGATTAAAGGCATGCGCCACCACTGCCCGGCCAAAAAATTTTATTTTTTATCGGCAATTTTACAGCACTTATTTATTACAAATAACTTCTATTTGTTTGGTTTATCAGCTCTTTTTCCTTTTTGTTTGGACTAGCCAGTGGCCTGTCTAGTTTATTATTTAGAGAATTAGCTTTTGGACTTACTAGCTGTCTTTGTTTTCTTCTTCATTTTTTTTTTAAATATTTCTTCCTTTTCAATTATAGTTACTTAATTATTTTTCTCTTTAGTTGAATGTTTACTGTTTTAATTATTTTTAAACTTTTTAACTTAAATGTATTTAGGGTTGTCAAATGAATCTCCTTAAAGTTCTTTCAACAATCCAGGAATTTTTAAATCTTTGATACCCTCATTTTTTTTCCAAAAACTCACTAGCAATTTTTTTTTTTGGAGTTTTCTCTTGACTCCATCCCTACTGAAAAGGTTTGACATTTATTTCCAGGTAAGTCACCTCTCCCCTTTTAGAATTACATCTCATTCTACCGGGTAGAATTCAGTTTCTTTCTCAGTAAAGTGGGGAAGCTGGATCCACACCAGGCATTCCGGAACAAAGTCTGTCACACCAGACTCCCCCTATTGTTTACTAAGCATCTTCTCTCAGCATGAAAGGACCAGTGTTTAATCTTCATCATTACTCTGGCAGGGGGGAGGGAGGTGCCTTATATAAGAAGGGCAGGTTGAAACCTACAGAAATATGACATTGGGAAGTGACATGTCAATGCCTCTGACTTAAAATTGTAACGCTTCCTTTACAAGAAATTGAACCCCCTGAAATCTTCAGGAAATTCACTTATCACGGGGAGACAGGAGACAAGGGAATCATGGACCATTTGGTAGAAATGGCAGAGAAAAACTGGATTATTTCCCTTCCCTCTGCAAATTGATGTAGTAGGAAAGGTGTAAGCTTAGGAATTAAATTGACTTAGAGTCATGTATCTGCAAGGCCTTGAGTAGTTGTTTGGATTTTCTAACACTTAATTTCCTCTTTTGTGGATTGGAACGATAATGCCCATCATATTGACTTAAAGATTAAGTGATAATGTATTTTTAAAGCTCCTTGTACAATATCTGAGCTACCAGCTGTGGCTACATTTAATAATATTATGAACTCCAAATCTCCAGGAAAAAGCAAGTTGGTCTTTCTTGATCTTGGGATCTTCCCTGAGTCCCCTTGCTGGCCTCATCCCTGTGTTCTCTAGAGGAACACACTCATCTCTGTGTGGGGCTCATCCCTGTATTCCCTTGCTGGGCCCTCACTGAGCTCTTCCCTGTGGTCACTCACAGGCTTATCCCTGTATTCTCTCATGGGGTCCTGTGTTCTCTCTTTGGACCCTCCTGTGTTTCCTTGTGGGGTCCTGCAAATTTGTATCAGTGTTCCACCTTGATGAGTCTGAAATTCCCAAGGCAGGACTGGTTTTCATGGCTGTCTTCTCTTCCCTACACACCTCTTAACAGGACAGCCTCCCTTCCAGAAATCGGATCACAGGGGCAGACATTATGGATGCTGTGCTGTTTGCACTTGGACCTCTGTTAAGTCGGGGTCTTCTGTTTCTGACCTGCTGCAGTGGGCAGAGAACACGTCCACTGTTCCTGGAATCTCGCAGCTTCTCTGCCTCATCCACACTCCTTCAACTGGGAGCAGAACTAAAATTTTTTTGCCCATAAAACGTGGGGCCATCACAATAAAAGTTATAATCTATGAAAGGATTCACTATATGTTGGGAGCACAGAGGTCCTTGTACCCACAGAACACTAGGGAATCAAGATGTTAAATACACAGGGGCTCTCCTTAATGGAGGAGATAAAATACCTGTTTTCCCACCCAGAAGACTGAGAATGGATATTGTTAATGACCTGGTGACCTTTTTGCTATCTGTGGTGGCAGACTTCACCCACTTTTTGTTATAGAGGCAGACCTCACCCAGAATGTTTATCCCAGACTCCCTCCCTAGACCCTTATCATTAGTTCCCAGTTAAACCCATCCTTAGGGTGGGATGTCACAGGTACTTTATAGCCTGCTGACCTCTATAATATGAGAGTCAGAAGCCACACTAGATTCTAGACCTTTTAGCGATAGGACCCACCCTTGTGGTCACATTGTAAATCACACCTTAAGCTTTATTATGCACTTAAATTGGGGTGATTGTTGCCTGGAAACTTTTTCCCAAATTGTGCTGTATTTGAAACGCTAATGAACCACCTGGCTTCAGACTCCCCAAGTCTGATCCAGGTTGACAAAGTCAATCTGAACAGAGTTTAATTCTCACCTCTTTGCTGTTTGCTTCTCAGCCTGCACACCTGGTCTTAAAAAAAAAAAAAAAAGTCTGGATTATTTTTAAATATTCCACCAGTCTTGAAATTTTACTTTCTGGCTGTCTTACAGGAAATTGATTTTCATAAGTAGTAGGATGGCATATTCTTCAGTTGAGAAGGAAATTTGAGGAGGTATCTGTATACACACACATACATGCATGCTCATGTGTGTACCCCTGCCTCACAGGTTCTCCTGCCCATGCTCAGTGATCTCTATTTTCTACCCCCTAAGAAGCACTCGAGCTTAGTAAATGACGTAGACAGAAAGGTGTGTAAGACACAGTGGTTGGCCATCAGGAGGTATAGTCTCATTTAGAGTAAACAATAACCAAAAAATGCATTATATAATTGTGTGGGCAGATAGTATGTTAAAAGATGGGTGCTATGTCAGGAAATAAATGGGATATTGATGTTATCTAACTTGGTCATTGAAATCTCATGAGGATCAGTAGATTTAGGCTACATAAAAATGGGAAAGTTGTAAAGGACAGATCAGAAATTTAGATAAAGCTGGATATTTTAATGTTTCCCTGAAGATGCGTGTGCCCTTAAGTGTGTGTGGGATGAGTATTAATTTGATGCAAACTATATTATACTAGTCACTGTGAAGTAGGCAATTCGGAAGAAAACTAATATAATAAAACTATAATTTGTCCGCACAATGACCTGTACATACCTGTCCTAATGATCCTTCATCTCTGTGGTCAGACTGTATAGTGCATACGTAGTTCTTGAAGAATGCCTCTGAAAGCCTGAATAAAAACCAAAATGCTGTTTTGGTCAGCAGCTCCAACTTTGTGTGGTGTTATTTCTTGGATCATTCACACTTATCCTGTCACCAGAGCTGTGGCTCACACTGTCACCAGTTTTCTGGAAACAGGGTATTTGTAGTGTTTTAGGGGATAACTTAGGGGAATGTGATTATGATAACATTTTCTCATGAAATGTTTTTATTATCCAGATTTTAAACAATGGCCTAAAATCTAAAATGGGTAAGCACTACTAGAAGATACGGTAAATTTTAGTGACATCCATAAAACTGAGCCCTCATAAAGATGTAGTCTCCCAGGTTTGGAAGAGAACAGTGTTACCAGAGGTCCTAAAATATTCCTTGAATAATAATTGAAACATACTCATCCCCACTAGTACCCACCCCCAACACTGTCCTGAATTTTCTTCTAAGTTTTTTATTTTTAAAATTATTTTGTGTGTGTGTGTGTGTGTGTGTGTGTGTGTGTGTGTGTGTTCAAGCACCCATGCATGTGTGTGTGCATGTGGAGGCCAGAGGATAACCTTGGGTATCATCTTCAGGAATTCTGTCCATCTCCCTTGAGAATGGGGTGCTCTCTCCCTCTCCCCTCCCCCCTCTTAATTATATCACACCCC